CTTCTGTAAAGATTAAACCTGAGAAAGCCTTATTGGGAAATGTTGCTCTGGGTCACAATGAGCTAAAAATAACTCAACTGCACTCTATCAAAAATGACCATATGACATTAGTTCTCTGTTTTCATGAATGTCCTTGCTTACAAATTCCCTGTGGGAAAAGGTGCTTTCTTATATTCATTTAAATTCCTTTAGCCCAGTATATGTCTGAAGCATAATAATCACATTCAAATATAAAAGGAGCTCCACTATAATTAGTCAATATCATGATATTGACTAATTATAGTGGAGCTCCTTTTAAAAGTATTTACTTGTTGAGTTTATATTTGTCTGATCTAAGGGATAATATCCAATTGCATATTATTGTGTGAAAATGAATCTTAAATGATAGATTTCTAAATTATACAGTCATTGGTTACATATTTTGAAATCAGAATTAAAGATAAGGGAAATAAAAATAAAAGACAAGAAGAATATGTCGATTTTACATGGGCTTGGATCCATAAAGCTGCAGACTAAAGGATTTTGAAATAGAAGTAATAGTTGGAGGAAAAGCAAGGAAGTGAGAAAAAGAAGGAAATAGGTAATTATAACTAATTTCTGATAGTCAAAATGAGGATAAATCTAATACTAAGCATGGGAATATGGTAATATTATATTTATCATTAGTCTTAATTTGAGCCCAATAGGTGTTTTACTGAAGGTTTTTTTTTTATTGTTGTTGTTTTTACAAAAGTATTATACATAAATTTAATATTGGCATACTGACCATATTTTTTTAACTTTAGGAGATAAATAGAATTTTAAAAATTACTATTCAAGTATGAGTCAATCTGAAAAATTCACTTCCCATAATATAAAAAGCATACTTTGGCAAAATATATATATATATTTACTAATAAACTTTACATGTAACCATTTAAAACATATTACAATTAACCAAGATGAGCTATAAAAATGTATTGACATCTATTTTTCCGATAAAGGTACTTTTCATTCATTACATTTACAGGAGCTTCTAACCATGTTACATAAATAACTTACTATTTTTATAATCTAATAAATGACATTATATTGATTATAAAACTCTTTTGGCAGAGACTTTGGACAATATGATCAGAGGATTTAAAAAATATTATGATAACATTTTAGTGGCCTATAAACATTCCATTCTATTGAAGAACAATAAAATCAGTAATGTATGTTCTACTGTGAACAGAATATTGTATCAGAACAATATTGGCGTAGAACATCACCATTCCCAGAGCTTGATAGCGTTTAAAAATCATTTATCTATTATCTTCTCTTACTGAAGGGTTTTTAAGCAATGAACAAAAAGAAGGTTAAAACTTAGGCAGGAGACTTAAGGTAGTTCTTAGAGTAGTGTGATTATTACATAATGAGGTAGGTAATAAGTCCCATAATCATGCTATAATTATAAAAATGGATAGAAGAAAACAGAAGCAAGAGATACTGAGTAGTAGCTATAAACATTTATGATGGCATGAAATTACTTGATATGGCTCTTCCAGCAATAATCTTTGAAATTCCCACCAAATGATTGAGGGAAGCATGCAAATAAGTTATACAAGACTCTAACTGGGAATAGCTTAGTTTTGCTAAGGTGTGAGAAAGAGCCATCTCAGAAAAGGAAAAAAGAATCCTATAGCCAGCCATAAAGTAATAAAATTCACCAGCGAGTTCCCTACCTGAAGGGGTGGAAGCAGCAGAGACAACAGAGGCCACAACACCTAGACAAGGAGGGAGAACAGAGGAGATTTGCTCTTGGCCCACAGGACAGAGGGAGGCCACAGGACCACATGGCTGGGAAGTTGAGGACCACAGAGAGAGATTCCTGCCAGCATAACTGAGAAGAGGCATTGGGCAAAGCAATTATATCCCTAATATTTTGGAACGTATTAATATATCTTATAGCACCCATAATTGTAAGCATTGTCTGTACATTATGTTTGATCATTGTAATTGATTATTGAACCTTCAGTGAAGTAGAGTGCTATGGGAGGGAGGGTTGGTGTCAAATAGAATAAAGAAGGATGGAGCTGGGAAGTATGTGTGACGTCTGCCTCATAGAATTCAAGTGGATTGGGAAGCTCCTTTTCCTTGGTGTAAACAGAAGTCAAATGTAGCCCCACATATTTTCTTCAGTGCTCCTTGTGAAAAAGATTGGGTGTGAGTTAGTACAAGAAGATGAGACAAAATGACACTGTCCTTTTGAACATAATCAGGCTGGACGAAAATATTTGCATTACTGAAGTAAAAAATACCACCCAACTTTAATAGTCCTGTAAGTTAAACAGTGATGCTTGCGATAACTATTATTTGAATTTTAATTCCTACAATTTTTACTAACACCATGTTTAAAGGTACAAATCTAGTTGCACTATGCTAGGCATAATGAAAACAAATAGACATTTTATTCTAACTTTGTAAGCCCTTAATAACAGATTTAGAGAATAATACCTTTCTCATCTAGCAAAACTGTTTAGTAGAATTAGAATGACAATATTTCCCTTTATTTAGAAACCCAAATGGGATACAGAATAATGGCACAAGATGGCCAGTCTTCAAAAGCACTGAACAAAAATATTTAACCTTGAACACTGAGTCATCAAGAATATCCACCAAACTACGAGCTCAACAATGCCGATTCTGGACACTATTTTTTCCAAAAATCTTGGAAATGACAGGTGTGTCTTTTCTTATTGTTTGATAAATTGATTACGGGCTTTATACTATGTGGGGAAAGTAAGCTCTTGAAAGCTTATTGATGGCATTAATTACTATATGTATCTGTGAATTTACACTAACTTGAATCTAATGAATACATTATTTTAAACTTTAATTTAATTCATTTTTATAAAAACTTTATTGTAAATTCGGTGTGTGTTTAATTTCAGATAATCAACTTTGTTTTCAGTACTTTAAACTTATAATCAACCCCTCCCCCCATAGCTTGCCCTTCTTTCACTCCTTCTTTGACGACCTTTGACTATGACCTTCCTTCCTTCCAAATTCAACCCATGAAGTACATAGCCTTCTTAAGTTAGTAAAAGCTCATTTCCATAGAAAATAACCTATCCTAATATTGTAAAGCCCATAATAAGTCTTTAGAAGCAAGCCTCGAGATTCACTGAGGAGCCCTGGTGCTGTAGTGGTTACACTTTGAGCTGCTAACTGCAAGGTTAGTGGCTTGAAATATCCAACTGCCCTTGGGAGAATGATGAGGCTTTCAATTCCTGTAAAGAGGTAAAAAGTCCTGGCAACTCACAGGCGCAGTTCTACCCTGTCTGATAAGATCACTGTGTGTTGGCATCAATTAGATGGCAGTGAGAGTGTTAATGAGACTAGCTTATACAGTTCCCACAGTATGTCTGTTTTCGGCCTAACCCCCCAGCCCCAGTCCTACCCCCACTCACCACCCACCCCAGATAATTCCCTGAAGAATGCAAGGTCTATTCATTCATGTCAGGCTTTCTGGCTGTATTTGATTATTCCATTTTTATTTACTTACATCTGTTTAATTTCACTGGGTTATGCTTTGGTGTGCTAACCTCACGGTCAAGAGTTCAAAACCACCAACAACTCTGTAGGAGGAAGATGATGCTCTCTACTCTTCAAAAGATGTACAATAGCATAAAATCACAGAGGCAGTTCTACTCTGTTATAAGGGTCGCTTTCAGTTGGAAGTATTCAGTGGTAGTGTATATTTTGGTTTTGTGGGTTAACATCAATGGACTCTAGAAATAAATTAATTCTAAGAGAAAGTTCTGCATTACTGCCATCAGAGGAAAACTAGTATCACTAGTGATAAATAGTAATTTTCTGCCATCGAGTAAATTCTGACTCATTACACAAGAAAAAATGAAAAAGAATGCAAGAATTGCTGGTGAAAGCCAGCTCATATGATTGATGGCCTCTAGCCAACATGAATTTTAGAACTCTTGTAAAGTTTCTAAGAATTATGTTCTCCTTTTCATTACCAAGAAACTTAAAATAATTAAAATTTGGGAAACTAATCTTTTGAGGGCCTAAGTTTTGAAACATATTTGGAACACTCAAGCTCTGATCGATTGTCAGACAGTTTTGCCAATTGTTTGTATTGCTATTATAAGAATTGTGGATCTCCTGATATACCATTCATAAATAAATGTTTCATTCCTATATTCCTATAGACAAAGTGACAATGTACATTTTTAACATTTTATATCCCTGCATTTATTTTCTCCTGTGTGTGTACATGTTCTATTAATACTTTTAGAGTTTCATGCTCTATTTTTTTGTGTATTTAAAGGAGAAAAATTTGTTAAAATCTGGATTCTCCAAAAATAAATTTATAAAGAAAGAGCATTAAAACATAATTTTCCTGTTGGAGGAGAAGAAAATTTAATAGGGAAACAAATACACAATCACCAGCTTCCTTTCAAGGGAAGTGTATGTGTTGCTATTCAGATGAACACATTTCAAGGCAACATTTGGACTAAGAGAGATCCTGAAGAAAGGCCAAGTGATGTATTTCCAAAAATCTGCCATTGAAAACCCTATGGATCATAATTATCTGATCCCCAACTGAAAATGGAAATGGAGATGAACCAAGTGGGTGTTAGTACCTTCTTAAATGGGATGGCCATAAATACAGAACAAAATTAACTGCAGCTAACATCAGCAACCTGCTATTCAAACTTTGTAGAATACATAAATGGATAAAATAATTCATAAACATTTAATATAAATATGTTGTGGAATGTTGTGCAACTAAAGGGGAAGAATGCACCTACATTTTTAAAAACCCAAGCATTTCTAAATACTTTAAACTTACAAATATTTAGTTAGGAACACTTATATAATCCACTAAATTAATAATAATTAGGTAACTAATGTTTCAGAAAGTGACTCCTTTTAATGTAAGTGGAAATGTTCAGAAATTTGATTTACATCATCATATTATCTCAAAATGCATAATTAAGAAAGTATTTTTATCCACTTGAACATTGGTTCTTGCCATACATATCTAAATCATTGCATGATTCTAAAATGCCTAGCAATTTATAACTCATATGATGCCTCATCTATTTCTAATTTTATTTTCTATGTAGAAGTAATCAGCTGTCAAGCATCAGACATAATGGGGCTAAGTACGTTAGATATTTATTCATTAAAACATGTAATTTTGAGCTATATAATATATATCACAATCTAGTGTGAATTTATTTGTCCTAATGTTAGAGGTTGTGGGTAAGTTTTAGTCAAATATATGCTTTCCAGTGCTGTATTGAATTATTTAATATGTATTTCGATTATTAGACATTACTCACACAATGATCATTATGTCCTCCTTCTGTGTGAGAGACGGTTCTGATCTAAGAGGGCTCTCTGTAGGAGCAAACCCTCTGGGCCTTAAGACAGACCCAGAGATGGACTTCTGCACCCTTGGCAGTGTCACAGTGCGGCCTGTGTCTTCCGGGTTTGAATAACAATAAGGTGACACAAGAAATCTGCCAAAGGCCCTGGGAAGCTATCCTTTAACATATCACCAGCTACACATTCTTAATCTTTATTTAGTTTCTTTTAATGATGGGATTAAACTTTGAGGTTAAGATTGGCAAGCATTTGAGTCTTGGTTATCAAGCACTGCTACAACAGAATAGCCAACAAAATTTTAACAAACATAAATTCATTTTCTCACACTCGAGGAGGTGAGAAGTCCACCTTCAGAATTCCAGCTCTAAGGAAAGGCTTGCTCTCTCTTTGGGCTGTGAAGGAAGGCGCGTCTGTCCGGTTCATGCTCCTGGGCAGTATTCATTGTGCTTAGCTGCTCTCATTCCCCATCAATGTCTGTTTTGCCTTCTTGTTTCATTTCATCGATGAGGGAAAGTCAAAAAGCATTGCTATGGAATCTTAGAAACTTTTTTAAAACAAAAATATAGAAATTTGAGGTTATTGTTTCTTGACATATCTCTTATTAGGGTATATATATTTCTGAAGGTAATTTTTCATCCATCTATTCTCCAAATAATTCTGGGCATTTTGATTTACACCACATACAGGGATGTAAATCATGTTTATTTTAAATTCTATCAGCATTTTAAGAACCAAAAGAAAGTCTAAAGGGACAATATCAAAGAGATGGTAAGTGCATGTGGTAAAGCTTCCCTATGAAATTCTCATAGAACTACCTTTGACACTCTCAAAGAATGAGCAAAAGCAATAGCCTGATAGAAAACATTCATTAAATTTGCTGGGTTTCATCTCACCAATATAATTTTCAGGGTTTTTTTTTAACTTCTTTTTAATAAACTCCAATGATCATCCTGTGTCCTTCATGAAAATCTATCAAGGTTACTCCTTTGGAAGTAAAACAAAATCAAAATAGTCATCAGAACCCTATGCTAACCTGTCTGCCTTGAATTTAATTGGCCCAGCAGATCAAAGTGGAAGATCCTGTTCTGATTGGATGCTTTCTTAGAAGGTACCCTGGCAAGACTAAGATGATTGTATCACTGAGAGAATTATCTGCTGACATCCACTGATTACAGAGTCATGTATTGTTTGAAAAAGGAAAACAAAAGCAAATATAAATGAACTGGAATTCTGTTGCAGTGCTTTTTAATTTATCCTAAAATATTCCAAAAGTGGTTGATTTAAGATATACTTTACACCAATTCTGTGTCATGAATATAAAAAAGACAACCTATTTCCACATGGAATTATAGAGGTTAGTATTTACAACACATGTTTAGGAGACATAATTCAATCCACCTATTGTTAGATATCTTCAAATCCATTTGAACTCATAGTGACGCTATGTACAAAACAAAACACTTAATCAATCACAAGTCATCCTCATAATTGTTGTTATATTTGAGCCTGTAGTTGCTAGATTGGAGTGAAATTTCTTAATATAGCTCTTCTAATCATGTCTTTACAAATCCCACCAAATGATTGGCTGTTGGTGTTGTTAGGTGCCACCCAGTCAGTTCTGAGTCATAGGGACCCAAGTGTACAACAGAAGGAAGCGATGCCTGACCTTGTGCCTTCCTAACAATGGTCTCCAGTTGAGCACCTTAGATGCAGCTACCGCCAATCCATCTTGTTGAAGGTCATCCTCTTAGAAGACCTTTCTCTTTTTTCACTGCTCCTCCAATTGACCAAGCACAATGTCCTTCGCGAGGGACTGGTCTCTCCTGACATGTCCTAGTTGCAATACTTTTTAACTTATTCGAGTATAGCCCAAACATGAGTAAATGGATACTTGACAAAGTTTCTCCACACTTGTCTCTAAGAAGCACTTTGGTTGTCCTTCTTCCAAGAAAGCTGTTTGTTCTTTTGTGAGTCCATGGTTCTTGCAATATTCTTTACCACCAATACAAAGGCATCTATGCGTCAACGGTCTTTCTTACTCCGTTTGCAACCTTCACATGTACATGAGGCAATTGAAAACCCCATAGGTTGGATCAGGCACAACTGAGGCCTCAAAATAGCATCCATCTTTTCAAATCTTGTGCAGCAGATTTACCTAATGCAATGGTTTGCTTTGTTTTTATCTCTTGAATGCTGCTTCCATGAGCATTGATTGTGTATACAAGCAAGACAAAAATCCTTGACAACATCAATCTTTTCTCCATTTACTCTAATGTTACCTACTGGTCCAGTTGTGAGGATGTTAGTTTTATTTCCATTGAGCAGTAAT